TTTTCCGCCAAAACTTGATGAACACAATAAAGAAGAAATGAATATGAGTTATAACAGGGATTTGATTAATTTGTGGAACAATATATGAATTTCAAGATGTTTTTCTTGTTTGTAATGTATTTGTATTGATCATTCATCACCTATTTATAGGCCTCAATCAATACATCACAAAATGGTGCCAAAACAAGATGAAAAGTGACAACTTTTAATCCAAAACGGCTCCCAAATTTCAAATTGAAAAACTAGCCAATGGCTATTTTTTAACACTATGCGTACTCATAATATAAACCGTGCGTACGCATAGTAGAAGCAAAATTTAATTATGATTTTGTCAAAACACATCTCGTGTACGCACAAAAATAAGCCCGTGCGTATACATAGACAAAAAATCAAAATTTTCATTTTTCAATTTCTTTTGATTCTACCCATTCCATAATTGAGCCCAACAATTAGTCCATTATCATTCTATTGATTTTGAACAAATATTCTACATAATCTGTTGAAGAAACATCGGGTTCGAATTTCTTCAATGTAACTTGATGTCGCAATTCATGCAAAATTTCTGAATTTCCGATACAATTTTGATTATGCTAACTAAAAACAAGTTCAATTTATTTCTCTTGAAACAGTACAAAGCAACCTCCATGGAAAACCTTCAAAGTTCCTCGAAAGCTTCAAAGCACAAGTCCTTGAACTACAACGATTCATCAATCAATATAAAATATTTTATTGGCCGTCTTGCGATTAACTGCAATCTTCGATTCGTACGCTTCCGATGTCTCACACTCTCCATCACCGTCGAAGTATCTCAATTCAACCTCGTTGGTGATGGCCTTTAGTAAGTACTTATTGCCACTGGCGACGATTGCGAATCTGGACTCACCATCGGTGAAGCTCGAGAAGGATGTGCTGATGATGGATGAAAGTTCGGTATGGAAGTTTAATAAAGGTTGCGGAGTTGTCGAATTAGGGTTAGGTCACTGCTGATATCATTAGAATTCAACAGCGGCAGGGGAATTACGAGTATCACTGATAGTTGCTTTGACTACAGAACTGAAACATGTATGTTTTGGAAGGATTCTATCACGGTCGAACCTTTAACAACGGTAGCTCCTCACCGTGACGTAGCTGCAGCTTAGAAAATGAAGATTTTCAACTGAAATCAGCTGACTTAGTAACCAATAAAAGATAAAAGAGAATGGGGGAAAGGATTAAATGACGTAAAATAAGAAGAAAGGGAAGACAAAGCTATTGAACGATTTCAAAATTGCCTCGAAAATATCAGATTATACAGAACTCATCTTCCCCATTCCCAAGCTTCAATACAACCCTATATACAATAAAACAACAATTGGGCTTGGGCTAGCCCACCATACAAGCCCAAATAAAAAATAAAATAAAATTGGCATAATCCATGACATCCCTTCCCTTTAATTTAACCTTGTCCTCAAGGTTTAACATCAGAATGTCTTTTTTGTATGTTGTTAGCAACGGTCTCGTTCTCTTCACCATTCTTGGATTAAGCAGGTAGTGTAAGATGAAGAAAACCTTATCCTCAAGCTGACTTCTAGGGAAAAAGGCTCTTAACAAAACGAATGGCCTGTCTTTTCCATCTTCTCGCTTAGTCGGCCCACCTGATGTAGCCATGTGAATGTAGTAATCATATGCATTATGCAACTTTCTGTGCTTAACATCATCATGATGTAAAGCATCTCTGGGCATCGAGACCTCTTGACCATTGAAGACAGAAGGTTCGTTCATGCCATTCCAGATGTACAAGGATGGAGATATACGAGAAATTTTCAGCCCACCAAGACCTAATCTTTGGATTCAACACATTCAAGTATGATGATGAACCAGACCAGCACCACCCATTGAAATCCTTCCCAGTTGCATCCTTTACATAATATACCTTTTGGGAAGTCTTCTTGTGTATATCGTAAGGTTCGTCCCTCTTAATGTGAGGGTCCACGATAGTGACCATATGCCTGCCGTTTTCAACCAACTTTTTCTGCATCTCTTCTGGATTAGGAAATAGCAGCCTATCCCACGTAAAATAATTTTTCCCATCCATATGCTCAATATCAAGCCACCAAAAAAAAAGGGATATCATGCTCATCAAATTTGGCGTCTAGATTATAAACATCCTCTTCACCGCTATAATTCCACCTACACTGATGGTAAGAAATAGCAAATAACTGTGGCATTGCCAGTGTTCCAGTAACACTTGTATACTGCATAACCATATTTTTTGGCTCCGGACTAACAAAAAAGAATGCATCCAACACACGAGCTTCTTTCATCCACAATGTATTGACCCTCTTTTGATCTGAAGGCAACATCAAAACAGAAGTATATTCATCATTCCAACTTGTCCCCAGAACATCAATTTGCATTTCAGCAGCATTCAGCCAGAAAAACCCAGAGCTCCCATGTGACTTCCCATGGGAAATCATGAAAGGTATGGAACCATAAAGCCCAGAAGGCGAGTCAGCAATATATTCAAACACATCAAGGTTAAAAAGCCGATATGGCTCAGAATCCTCCACCCCAAGTCCTCTAGTTGGCTTTAAGGCTAAACTAGTGGCATGTTCTGGAATGCCATAAACAAAATCGGCATCATAGAATGATACGTCAAAGCTAATACTCTATGGTCCATACAGACGTGTATGAGTGTGGCTCCTAAACCTCTCCTCCAAATTCTCAACTTCATTTCTTCATCCTTCTCAACACCTAAATCAGATTCTAGCTTCTCAAAACTAGTCTCCACAACAGTTTCTATTTCAACATGCCTTGTAACTACAACAACTGAATCATCTTCGTTCAATTCATAAGTATTGACCTGCTTTACTAGTTTCTCTTCTGGTTTAGAACAGGAACCCCATTTCCCTTCCAATTTAGAATCTGAATCATCCATTTGTGCTTCAGAAGACTTGACTATTTTTGTGTACTTGTTGGACTGATCTTTGGAGGCTGATTGAGCCTCAAAAATTTCAGTCATCATTGAGATCACTAGCTCATGCTTCCTATTAATTTCTTCCATTATACAATCCAATTGAGAGATACCTATGGGTTGAAGCTGCTCTGATACCATTTGTCACAGTTGAACCTTCAATAATGGCAGCTCCTCACCGTGACGTAGCTGCAGCTCAGAAAATGAAGATTTTCAACTGAAATCAGCTGACTTAGTAACAATAAAAGATAAAAGGGAATGGAGAAGGATTAAATGACGTAAAATAAGAAGAAATGGAAGAGAAAGCTGTTGAACGATTTCACAATTGCCCTGAAAATATCAAATTACACAAAACTCATCGTCCCCATTCCCAAGCTTCAAGATAACCCTATATACAATAAAACAACAATTGGGCTTGGGCTAGCCCACCACACAAGCCCAAAGATAAAATAAAACAAAATTGGCATAATCCATGACGGATTCCGGTATATGCCGTTTTGGTTCCAAATGCCAGGTCAATTTTCTTCCCTCTCATCATGAAGTATCATCATCAAAAGGTTTATATGTATTTAGAAGATCAATGTACGGCACAGACTAATGTCTTGTTTCTTCATTGTTTTGTTGAGTAATTAAACATTAATGTGCATTAATTGTAGTACCATTTGGTTGAATGAAGAATATACTATTTTGATCTGTGCTCACCATAGTCTAATTGTAATGTAATTCCACTTATTTCAAGTTGAACAGTTTGCTCATGAGAAAGAAGAGCTCCATCCTGTTCATTTCTCAGGCAAGAATAAATTTAAGGTAGTAATGAAATTGAGAATCTTTTTCTTGATCAATCCTCTAACATAAATCAACTGAACTAAAAATTGGTGACTTTATATATGATTTCTTGTAACATGCTTTGTGGGTTCTGCAATTTTGTAGGCACCATGTAGCAAATCATCCAATGGTTCAGGTGGATCGGGATCATCATCATATGGCTCAAAGTGCCACTTTGTTCATCACCAAGTCAAAGCAGAAGCAAAAGCCCTCTCTCCACTACTGCCATTACCGATGGCCTTACCAACATTACCCACCAAAGTAGAACAAACATCTGGTGACGTTGGGAGAATCAGAAACCCAATTACTGCGTTCATAAACTCAAATTGGACTCCTCTTGATGGTATTGCCGTCTCTTTATCTTCTGGTTCTTTTGAGGAAAAGAATCCCCCAAAAGAAGACGTGGATGCTTATGTACAAAGGGGCCTCTATGTTATCCATTCAAGGAAAAGATTACAGGTGTTTCTGGTATTCTGTCAGGAGTAGATGCTTTTACTTAACAATCTGCAATATATAACTTGGCTTTGGTTGCAGAACTAAGGTAATGTTAGAAGTGGAGACAAATTTTAATTTTTCTTCTTAGAGATAAGGTTGAAAACGATAGGGGTAGAAGCAAAGTTGAATTTTACCTCTTTGAAGGATAAGTTGTAGTTATCAAATCTTTGCCACCAAGAAGAAAATTCAAGCAAGTAAATCTACCAAGTCAAGCAAGGAAAGAAAGCCTATTGGTTGATCAAATTCATCTTTGATTTTTCAACTTCTAGAGAAGGAATTTAAGTTGTATTTGTCAAATGATAAACTGCCTTATAAAATCTATAAATAGACCTTAGAATGTGTTCATTATATATGTATGTATATTCTAATGAGTGTTTGCCAAAAATAATTTAGCACTAAGTGAGGTTTTATGATAGATAGAGTTTGCTCTTTTGAGAGAGATAGAGAGTTTGAAAATTTTTGTAACTCCTATTTAAAACTCATCTTGTAATCATCTATTCTTATTTCTTAGTAGAGCCGCGTTATCCCTTAGTGAAATCTATATCCAAGTTTTTTTGCTATTTTCATTATCCTGTGCAAATTCTTACCTAACAATTGGTATCAGAGCCAGGTTATAGCAAAATTGGTGGAGCCTGTGAACCTATAAACAATAGTTGTGTTCAACAATAACTGAGTTGCTACAATATTAATGATAGCAGAAGACAGAAAAGTTAAGATCACACCTCAGGTTTTGTGAGTGGTGGAGGTAGTTTGTTCAGATTTACTTCACTTGCCTTTTTCATTTTGATTTATGGATGCTGTTAGTTTCTCCTGCTACCTGGCCCATCATTCCTACAGAATAAAATTTACATCATGATGAATTTGAATACGAATAAAAAGTTTCCCTCTTGGAACGGTGAGCTGAGAAAGAATGGCAATATTGGGGATACCGCTTTACTCTTGGATTGTTTTGGCTATGGGGGACGTGATACAGCTGCATTAGGGAGCAGTCAAACGAAAGATGGAGGACAGAGTATCTGTACAAATGCTTCTGATGATGGGTGCAAATTAGTGCTTGGATTGGGTCCAACACCTGGTACTTATTCTGATGATTATTGTGCTGTTCGGGGTAATAAAAACAAAGGCTCGACAACCATATTTACTCAGAGGTTGGCATCTGACTATGATTCGATTCTGAAACTAGGACTGTCTGGAGACACAGATGATGATTCGAATATACTCGAATTTTCTGCTTCTACACAGAATGCTTCTGATGCACTTCACCAGCCGGATCGAATGTTTTCAGATTGTCATAGGCTTGCAACCCCTGTTGTTGATGAGGGTTCTACGTCTGCCAAGAAATCCGGTGGCTATATGCCGACGCTACTTTTGGCGCCTAGAATGGAAAGTAACAAAATTTCGTTGAGGACTGATGAGGTTTCAAATTTTGGTGCAAAATCCCATTGCTATGTTTCCGAGCTCAATGCTGAACCTTCTAGCGTCTCTAATTATTCAACGAGCACCACATCTGAACCAACGCTACCCGGGGCATCTTCAGACCTCAGAACTATCAACCTGAAAAGATGCAAGTTTGCTGGATGTACAAAAGGAGCGCGAGGGGGAACGGGTCTTTGTATTGGCCATGGGGGCGGACACAGATGCCAGAAACCTGGATGCAATAGAGGTGCTGAGAGCCGAACTGCCTATTGTAAAGCCCATGGAGGAGGCAGGAGGTGTGAGCATCTTGGATGCACGAAAAGTGCTGAAGGGAAGACGGACCACTGTATAGCACATGGTGGTGGAAGAAGATGTGGGTATCCAGGAGGGTGCACTAGAGCTGCCCGTGGAAAGTCGGGTCTTTGCATCAGGCATGGTGGGGGTAAGAGGTGTAAGGTGGAAGGTTGCAGTCGAAGTGCTGAGGGACAGATTGGCTTATGCATCTCCCATGGTGGTGGACGACGATGCCAATTCCTGGGTTGTACCAAGGGCGCGCAAGGTAGCACCATGTTCTGCAAAGCACACGGTGGTGGAAAACGGTGCATATTTGCAGGGTGCACCAAAGGTGCCGAGGGGAGTACGCCTCTCTGCAAAGGGCATGGTGGTGGAAAACGCTGCCTCTTTGATGGTGGTGGGATATGCCCAAAAAGTGTGCACGGAGGTACCGATTTCTGTGTTGCTCATGGCGGTGGAAAAAGGTGTGTTGTTCCAGGCTGTAGCAAGAGTGCTCGCGGCCGAACTGATTCCTGTGTCAGGCACGGAGGAGGAAAGCGCTGCAAATTTGAAAGCTGTGGAAAGAGCGCTCAAGGTAGCACCGACTTCTGCAAGGCACATGGTGGTGGAAAGAGGTGCAACTGGGGCGGTGGAAAATGTGAAAAGTTTGCAAGAGGAAAGAGTGGGCTATGTGCTGCACATAGCAGCCTGGTTCGAGGACGTGCGATGAACGAAGGAGGAATGCTTGGGCCTCGACTCTTCCACGGATTGGTGCCAGCTGCTTCTACTGCTAGGAGCAGCTTCGACAACACTTGTTCTTCATCCGGAGTTAGTGTGATCTCGGATTCTCCCGATTCACTTGAACAACCAGCAAAAAGGGCACATCTCATACCTCCTCAGGTATTGGTTCCTTTGTCGATGAAGGCCTCATTATGTCCCGAGAAGCAAGTGGAAACGAGCAATGCCGGCAACTTTGACAATACCAGTGATGGAAAGAGCTTGGATTATGTGGTTCCGGAGGGAAGGGTGCATGGTGGTGGACTCATGTCCTTGCTTGGGGGGAACCTGAGGAATGCTATGGATGGGGATTTGAATTGGTTTTAGAAAAATCTTCAACTTGTAATTTATGTGTTAGTATTTTGAATAATTTACTGTTGTAACTGTGTATTTAATGCTTGAAATTTGTCAAGTGATACCATGTAATTTGGTATTGTATGTTGTTAATAGGATTTTTATTCCCATGTACTTTGATTATTGGGTATTTTGTAATTATACAGCTTATCAGGTAAAGGTTCGCATTCATGAATTCTCTAATTATACAGCTTATTAGGTAAAGATTCGCAATCATCTCCATTTGATATAGCAGGTGGCATGAGGTAAAATGATAAGGCCAATTCAATGTGTGAATATGAAATTCATTTGATTGACCTTATCATTTAATGTCATCTCACGTTGAGGATAACCTTAGTTTATACGTAATTTTTAAGGTCATATCATTTCTGGAGAGGATCTTGCTGTAAATCTATTCAAAATAAAGAGCAAGACTCTGTGGCCATTCCTCTTTATTTATCGACCACTTGATACTAAATATTTTTTAAGTGCTTGACATCGACTCTATCAAGAAGCTATGAAACTTCTCAATGCACTATTCGAACTGACAAGCACCTGTCACTCATGATATTCGATCCTACTGATGCTTAACACCTGTCTACGTAGTATTGAGATCATTTTATCGAACAATGTAACAATAATTTCACATATTGACTAGGATTATGATTATTCTTTAAATGATAGCGCATTATTCTTCATTTATAAAAAGTTACTTTACTTTTCTCAAGTTTATCACTTCCTTCTGTTATTGTGCGGGTTTCAAATACAGATATGGCGCCTTTTGCATGTACTCACATGCATAATCTATTGGAAAGTAAGGGGTTGGAGAATAAACAACAATAAAATTATAGAAACAAAATGAATAGAAATCACGAAATACATCAAGAATGAATTTGAGGTTTCAACACGGGATCGTTGTTCTCAAACTATATTTGCCCTCTTTCCATATGAAATGAGATGCTTCAGGGTGCTATGACAAATGGTTTGAAAGATTTTAACAAGCCTTGATCCAGAAAATAACAAAGCACGAAAAATTTTCCGTCAAAACTTGATGAACACGATAAAGAAGAAATGAATATGAGTTATAATAGGGATTTGATTAATTGTGGAACAATATATGAATTTCAAGATGTTTTTCTTGTTTGTAATGTATTTGTATTGATCATTTATCACCTATTTATAGGCATCAATCAATACATCACGAAATTGTGCCAAAACAACATGAAAAGTGACAACTTTTAATCTAAAACGGCTCCTAAGTTTCAAATTGAAAAACTAGTCAATGGCTATTTTTTAACACTATGCGTACGCATAGTATAAAACTTGCGTACGCATAGTAGAAGCAAAATTTAATTTTGATTTTATCATAACACATCTCGTGTACGCACAAAAATAAGTCTGTGAGTACACATAAACAAAAAATCAAATTTTCCATTTTTCAATTTCTTTTGATTCTACCAATTTCACAATTGAGCCTAACAATTAGTCCATTATCATTCCATTGATTTTGAACAAATATTCAACATAATCTGTTGAAGAAACATCGGGTTCGAATTTCTTCAATGTAACTTGATGTCGCAATTCATGCAAAATTTCTGAATTTCCGATAGAATTTTGATTATGTTAACTAAAAACAAGTTCAATTTCGTTCTCTTGAAACAGTACAAAGCGACCTCCATGGAAAAACTTCATAGTTCCTCGAAAGCTTCAAAGCACAAGTCCTTGAACTACAGCGATTCATCAATCAATATAAAATATTTTATTGGCTGTCTTGCGATTAACTGCAATCTTCTATCCGTACGCTTCCGATGTCTCACACTCTCCATCACTGCCGAAGTATCTCAATTCAACCTCGTTGGCAATGGCCTTCAGTAAGTACTTATCGCCACTGGCGACGATTGCGAATCTGGAGTCACCACCGGTGAAGCTCGAGAAGGATGTGCTGATGATGGATGAAAGTTCAGTACGGAAGTTTAATAAAGGTTGCGGAGTTGTTGAATTAGGGTTAGGTCACTGCTGATATCATTAGAATCCGACAGCGGCAGGGGAATTACGAGTATTACTGATAGTTGCTTTGACTACAGAACTGAAACATGTATGTTTTGGAAGGATTCTATCACGGTCGAACCTTTAACAACGGTAGCTCCTCACCGTGACGTAGCTGCAGCTTAGAACCTTTAACAACGGTAGCTCCTCACCGATATGGCTCAGAATCTTCCACCCCAAGTCCTCTAGTTGGCTTTAAGGCTAAACTAGTGGCATGTTCTGGAATGCCATAAACAAAATCGGCATCATAGAATGATACGTCAAAGCTAATACTCTATGGTCCATAGAGACGTGTATGAGTGTGGCTCCTAAACCTCTCCTCCAAATTCTCAACTTCATTTCTTCATCCTTCTCAACACCTAAATCAGATTCTAGCTTCTCAAAACTAGTCTCCACAACAGTTTCTATTTCAACATGCCTGGTAACTACAACAACTGAATCATCATCTCCGTTCAATTCATAAGTATTGACCTTCTTTACTAGTTTCTCTTCTGGTTTAGAACAGGAACCCCATTTCCCTTCCAATTTAGAATCTGAATCATCCATTTGTGCTTCAGAAGACTTGACTATTTTTGTGTACTTGTTGGACTGATCTTTGGAGGCTGATTGAGCCTCAAAAATTTCAGTCATCATTGAGATCACTAGCTCATGCTTCCTATTAATTTCTTCCCTTATACAATCCAATTGAGAGATACCCATGGGTTGTAACTGCTTTGATACCATTTGTCACAGTTGAACCTTCAATAATGGCAGCTCCTCACCGTGATGTAGCTGCAGCTCAGAAAATGAAGATTTTCAACTGAAATCAGCTGACTTAGTAACAATAAAAGATAAAAGAGAATGGGGAAGGATTAAATGACGTAAAATAAGAAGAAATGGAAGAGAAAGCTGTTGAACGATTTCACAATTGCCCTGAAAATATCAAATTACACAGAACTCATCGTCCCCATTCCCAAGCTTCAAGACAATCCTATATACAATAAAACAACAATTGGGCTTGGGCTAGCCCACCATACAAGCCCAAAGATAAAATAAAACAAAATTGGCATAATCCATGACGGATTCCGGTATATGCCGTTTTGGTTCCAAGTGCCAGGTCAATTTTCTTCCCTCTCATCATGAAGTATCATCATCAAAAGGTTTATATGTATTTAGAAGATCAATGTACGGCACAGACTAATGTCTCGTTTCTTCATTGTTTTGTTGAGTAATTAAACATTAATGTGCATTAATTGTAGTACCATTTGGTTGAATGAAGAATATACTATTTTGATCTGTGCTCACCATAGTCTAATTGTAATGTAATTCCACTTATTTCAAGTTGAACAGTTTGCTCATGAGAAAGAAGAGCTCCATCCTGTTCATTTCTCAGGCAAGAATAAATTTAAGGTAGTAATGAAATTGGGAATCTTTTTCTTGATCAATCCTCTAACATAAATCAACTGAACTAAAAATTGGTGACTTTATATATGATTTCTTGTGACATGCTTTGTGGGTTCTGCAATTTTGTAGGCACCATGTAGCAAATCATCCAATGGTTCAGGTGGATTGGGATCATCATCATATGGCTTAAAGTGCCACTTTGTTCATCACCAAGTCAAAGCAGAAGCAAAAGCCCTCTCTCCACTACTGCCATTACGGATGGCCTTACCAACATTACCCACCAAAGTAGAACAAACATCTGGTGACGTTGGGAGAATCAGAAACCCAATTACTGCATTCACAAATTCAAATTGGACTCCTCTTGATGGTATTGCCGTCTCTTTATCTTCTGGTTCTTTTGAGGAAAAGAACCCCCCAAAAGAAGACGTGGATGCTTATGTACAAAGGGGCCTCTATGTTATCCATTCAAGGAAAAGATTACAGGTGTTTCTGGTATTCTGTCAGGAGTAGATGCTTTTACTTAACAATCCGCAATATATAACTCGGCTTTGGTTGCAGAACTAAGGTAATGTTAGAAGTGGAGACAAATTTTAATTTTACTTCTTAGAGATAAGGTTGAAAACGATAGGGGTAGAAGTAAAGTTGAATTTTACCTCTTTGAAGGATAAGTTGTAGTTATCAAATTATTCTTTGCCACCAAGAAGAAAATTCAAACAAGTAAATCTACCAAGTCAAACAAGGAAAGAAAGTCTATTGGTTGATCAAGTTCATCTTTGACTTTTCAACTTCTAGAGGAGGAATTTAAGTTGTATTTGTCAAATGATAAACCGCCTTATAAAATCTATAAATAGGCCTTAGAATGTGTTCATTATATATGTATGTATATTCTAATGAGTGTCTGCCAAAAATAATTTAGCACTAAGTGAGGTTTTATGATAGATAGAGTTTGTTCTTTGAGAGAGATAGAGAGTTTGAAAATTTTTGTAACTCCTATTTAAAACTCATCTTGTAATCATCTGTTCTTATTTCTTAGTAGAGCCGCGTTATCCCTTAGTGAAATCTATATCCAAGTTTTTTTGCTATTTTCATTATCCTGGGCAAATTTTTACCTAACAATTGGTATCAGAGCCAGGTTATAGCAAAATTGGTGGAGCCTGTGAACCTATAAACAATAGTTGTGTTCAACAATAACTTAGTTGCTACAATATTAATGATAGCAGAAGACAGAAAAGTTAAGATCGAAAAAGTCAATGGATCGAACTTCGGATTGTGGAAGATGCAAATAGAAGATTACCTCTACTAGAAGGACCTTTACCTTCCTATTGAAGGAGCGTCAAAGAAGCAGGTGGATATGAAAAATGAAGAGTGGGAGTTACTCGACCGTAAAGCCTTAGGTACGATAAGGCTAACTCTTGCTGCATCTGTTGCTTTCAATATTAGAAATGAAAACACAACTGAAAGTTTGATGGCAGCTTTATCACAAATGTATGAAAAGCCCTCTGCAACAAATAAAGTCCATCTTATCAAGAAGCTGTTCAACTTAAAGATGTTCGAGAGAGGAGTTTCAATAGAGCATATCAACGATTTTGATGCACTTATAAGTCAATTGGAATCGGTTGATATTTCATTTGATGATGAGGTTAAAGCACTGTCACTGTTATTAAGTCTTCCAGAGAGCTAGAATCCTTTGGTTGTGGTAGTAAGCAATTCTACGGGGTTGGCAAAGTTGAAACCAGATCATGTTGTAAATT